TTTTTATCTAAATCTTGTTTACGCTTTGTCTCTTTGTATCTTAATATTAAAGTTTATTTAGTTTATGATCTTATGTGAGGGTTTCCTGCTGTTTGAGCATGTTCAGCTCGGTTTTTACCTGGAAATTCTGACTCCTTCACTCTTTTCTTTCAGATCTTTACAAGTCACTGCAAATTCTTGTAGATTAGTCAGTTTACCCAGTTTACTTCCACTTTCTTCTTCACATAGAAATGAGGACCATCGTATTGAAATGTGTTTTATTAACAATGGAAGAAAATGAAACACAGAAAAATGCCTGACACTATGTGATATTTAAGGAAATCTGATACTGCTGTACAGTAGCCTGTCACATTACGCTAAAGGTGGTGGAGCAATGTGCTCTGTTTTTATCACGCTGTGTTTCACCTTTCACACAAATCTCAAGGTGTGTAGCTAGAAGAGGGCCGGCTGAGCTACATATTTAAATGTGGGTGTGCAAGCTACTCCTCTCATTTCAAGTCATTGCTGTGGAAGAGAGCCAGAGATCAGTAATAACTAATACTTTTTCATAGTGCAGTCCAAATCATCTCACCATGTTTGTTTCAATTGCACTGCTATGCCTCTGCCTTTTATTTCTTATTCTTCAACTCAAATCCAAGAGGCCGAAGAACTTCCCACCAGGCCCCCCAGTCCTTCCCCTGGTGGGGAACACTTTGCAGTTGAGTTTGGAGAACCCCTTAAAGGACTTTGAGAAGGTAAGAAAAAACATACACGTTACTTCACTCTCACTTGCTTAGAAAACCTGAAATGCACGTGCACGAATCATCTGATCAGTCACGTGGAGTCTTGAGACAAATTTCACGCTGCCAACTTTGCACAGATCCACAAATGTAAGCATGTCCCACTGTAAATATGTGGGCTTCCTCTGTATCCCTCCATGAAATGTTCAGAATTAGTACATTTGATGCTTATTTCTCTCCACAGAATAACTGAAATTACTGGACAGAAATGTTTAACCGTGTTGGAGGGAAATGTCCACCTGAGTATCTGGTTCATAAATTTCAAAAACTGACATGTCATTTTGTTCCCTCCCAGCTGAGGAAGTCTTATGGAGATATCTACAGTATTTTCATCGGTCGTAAACCAGCTGTAGTTATCAATGGGCTGAAGGCCGTAAAGGAGGCGATGGTGACTAAGGCTGCTGATTTTGCTGGACGACCCCAAGACTTGTTTATTAATGATATCACCAACAGGAAAGGTAGAACAGATGTTATCTATCACATGATACACTGTGTTCACACACATTTTACCATCAGTACCCAAAACAGCAAAACGAAAAATTAAATAAATAAAACAAAACAAACTAAAAAATCCAGTATATACGTTAGCATATACTAGATTCTATGGTTTCATGTTTTAGTGTATTATTATTTACTGCATGCATGAGGAAAAACACCCAGTTTGAGATAAGCATGCAGGGACAACATGGGTTAGGAAAATTCACCTTTTGCTGTCATCTCTTTGTAGAATACTCCTCTTCATACAACGGTGCAGCACACATGCTGGACCATGTGAACGATCCATGTAAACAATAGAGTTCTATTAATGAATGTGGAGCGTAATAAAAGATGACACAGTCCAGAAAGTAAATGATCTTGTTTCCCTTTGTGCTGAAAAATCTGTTTTAGGAGTAATTTTGGTCGATTACGGCTCTAGTTGGAGGGAACATCGTCGCTTTTCTTTGATGACTTTGAGGAACTTTGGTCTGGGGAAGAACTCGATGGAGGACAGGATTCATGAAGAGATAAAATACATCGTTAGAACCTTGGAAGACAGTGTTGGTAGGTCCGTCTGTGACCACAACGACGTTGCATTTGCTGTTGTTTCCTTTGCATTCCTGTAAAATTCTGTTCTGCTGAATAATCTCTTCTACAGGTAAAACCATGAGTCCTCAAGTTATGTTTCACAATGCGGCCTCCAACATCATCTGCCAGGTCCTGTTTTCTACACGCTACGAGTATGATGATGCGCTAATCAAACAGATTGTTCAGTGCTTCACTGAGAATACCAAGATGGCCAATGGACCGTGGGCTATGGTGAGTAAAAGCATGTTTCCCGTGTAATCGTGCTTACTTAGGAATCCTGTCATGGCTGAAGTTTTGCAGCAACAATTCCACTGATAACAAAACTAAAATGCAGAAGTTCTGTGTTCATCCCCCCCACTCTCATTTAACTCTCTTATCTTTCCTTTCAGCTCTATGACACTTTTCCCATAATTCGTAACCTGCCACTGCCCTTCCAAAAGGCCTTTCAGAATATGGAGGTAATTTTAATTTTCACTTTACCAGCAAGAAGAAGTAAATTTGTTCAAACTGTGAGTGACTACGTTTGCTTTTTAGACTTCAAAGAAAATTGCAATTGGTTTGATCAATGAGCACAAGAAGACCAGAGTTCCTGGAGAGCCACGAGATTTTATTGACTGCTATCTGGATGAACTGGAGAAGGTGTGTGAGTGTGAAAAGAAACAGATCTGCTCTATTTTGAGTATACGAAATATAAAAATTAGTTTTTAGAGTTTAAACCTGCACTTTTCCAAAAGGAGATATTTGTATAGTTTTAGTTCACAAGATGGTTAAAAATTCTGTTTTAAATGTAAAGAGCTGAAGGCATTTCTATCATATTCATTATTCCCCTCTTTTTAGAGACGCGATGATGGGTCTTCATTCTCAGAGGACTGGCTCATTATGAATGCTTTAGATCTTCACCTTGCTGGGACTGACACCACCTCCAACACCCTCCTCACTGCTTTCCTTTACCTTATGAACTACCCACACATCCAAGGTAAACCTGCACATGTAAATAAGACATATTATGGTTATTTGTCATTGGTGTCTGTGGTCCTGCTCGAGGTTTTCCAGGTGTTCACTTGTACTTCAGCCTTCACATAATACAATCTAGCCTGAGCCACACCCGATAGCAGCAAAAGGGGCCATGCCTGTCCCAGCATGCTCGTTATATTAACTTAACAAAGGAGAGTCTCACTTAACTCAATTCCCTACCGGTACAAATTATTTGTATTAGATTAGGTGTGGATGTGGTGTTTGATATGACCAATATCATCTCATATTAAAGGTTGAAGACAAATTGAATGAATACAGAAGGTTCCATCTCTACGGGCCTAATGCTTTAGTATTACATTACTTGTGTGTAGTCTGCCTTTATCTCACCTACAGATATCTGAAATGTGGAATTTAATGTGTGGTGTTATCCCTCCTGCACAGAAAGATGTCAGCAGGAGATAGACGACGTGTTGGGAGGGAAGTATCAGGCCAGTTTTGAGGACAGACACAAGATGCCTTACACACAGGTACTGTATATCAGACTTATAATTGCCTTTTATTTAGCAGGCATTGTTAAACAGCATAGCAAGTCCTACAGGTAATCATAAAGAGAGAACACACACATGCACAGGGTCCACAATAAGACGATAGCTCCAGGTCAAGCAGTAGGTGGAAAACAGAATAAATATCAGCCTGAATCTCCTCGTTTGGTGATGCATTTAAACAGCTTCTTTTCAGGAAATCCACCCAACCGTGGAGCCTTCATTGTTGTAGAAAGAACTGGTTTGACTGGAACTGGTCTACTGTTGAAATCTCCCAATTCTTTGAATCTTTGGGCTGAAGGAAGGACAATACTCGGTGTATAAATGCTCAATCAACAATCCTTTATTTCCATACAATTTTCACACAATGAGCATAAAAACCATCCGGATGGGGAGAGATGCATGAGAGGGTCACAGCAAGTCTCAAAATGGTGATGTGCTACACAGCTTTTTATACTTTCTACTGGCCCCCACCTGGTCGTAAACCTAAACATTCACAGTCCCTTATCTGTCATGGCACCTAAGTTATGACCTCGGGCTCCCTGTCTTTCTACCTCCTACAAGGGTGGGGGCACAGAATGTTGTCTGCTTTTGCTGTTACCGGCCCCAAGGTCCTTCGCACGCAACCTTCTCAGAAAATGATTTAAGCAGTCTGACATGACAAGAAAACAGTGTAAAACATTCACAGCAGATAAATGGTGGCGCCCACCTGTCTAACAGAACCCAAAGATGGTCACATTCTTTTAATCCCCAAAGATATACTGGAACATTTGTCTAACATACTATGAAAATATACTGCGAAGATGGTCATGTTCTTTAACCTAAAAATATAAGGAAAACTAAGCTACATATTTTGCACACAACCTAGACTAAGGAATATATTTATGTCCTACAGCTGTTTAACACAATTCGTCTACCTTGACTATGGGTATAAGATAACATAGTTTGAATGATGATCTCACACTACTCATAATAAAAAGAGCGTTTCATGTCGAAATCATATTGCAGAGTCATCATGACCTTTTTCCACACTGTGAACTATGATGTTTGAATGTTTTCATTAGACATGAAACACAAACGTGTTTTATCTTAATGCATAAAATCTAGTAAGGCTGCTGTGTGATGACGTTGACAAAGAAGTTTTATGTTTCCACATCAGGTAACTGTTTATTTAAAGCAGAACATTAGACTGATGCTCCACAGCAGTGTCAGCTAACAGGGAGAGTAGCCTCTCTGTCGTCGTGCGCTGTTACAAACGTTGAGTGTCAGGTTCATGCTCCAGAATATTTAGGAAGCCTAACATGGTAAATGGGCTGCTTCTTATATAGCGCTTTTCTGCTCTCGTGGAGCACCACATGCCACATTCACCCATTCACACTTTTTTCTGTCATTTTACGTGCTTCCTTATTAACATTCACACACACTGCTCTACCTGCTGAGCCACAGCAAACCCACTGATTTTATAAGAAACATACGCACTCAACCATCAGGGTTGCCTGCTTTGAAAGAATTATATTGTAATTTAAAAGCTTGTTTTGCATAATGTCCTGGTTACAGACTGTAGTTAGGAAGTACCAGGATAGGTAGGAAGGATGTTAGGAACACCCTTTCCCTAACACACCCCTGGCTTACAAACACAATAACATGCAGCTCTGGCTGCATGAAGGGCCTGCATGTCTGAACATGTTGTGGGTTGCACCTAACGGTCAAGTGATGGCACGAGTGTTTCATCACATGACTGTGAAGATTAGATAGGATCAGATTTCCTGGCACTGCCAAAGGCATGTGCTAGTCCACATGACCCTGTCTGAATATTTTTTAAGGTTATATGAGCTGAAATTATCTCATTAATACTGCATCCTGTCGGTGGCTTATAGGGAGAGGTCCCCACGTCTGCAGCCTCTAATTTCTGTTGTTTTTAAGTCAAAATACTTAAAAATTGCTCAGAGTCAGATAAAGCACAGAAAATGTCTTCTCTTCATCCAGGCTGTGATTCACGAGATACAGAGAGTTGCCAACACTGTTCCTCTCAGTGTCTTCCACTGCACCACTAAAGACACAGAGCTGATGGGTTATTCCATTCCCAAGGTAAGGGCCAACTGGTTAAATAGGTAGAGGCAATAAAGTGACGAGCATCCTTAATGGTTTTGAGGTTGATTTCGTCC